ATGATGGTCTCAAACCTGCTGCCCAAAGGATAAAAACTGTACAAAAGTTGGCATACACTGTGCTTACATAGTATATGCTTACTGAGCATACACAGCTCCTAGCTTTGTAGCTAGTGTCGCAAGCAGGGCTTTGGCTTCTGTGACCACCAGACCCTCTTTGAGATATGAGGACTGCTGGGGAGAGGTGAGAGCCATCAGACAAGGTTGGGAAAGAGCAACAAGCTCAGTAACCTTGTGAGAAGAGATGCAAACAAGGACCACTGGTAGACAGACATCAAAGCCTCCAGATAAGCAGGGGGAAGGAAATGGGGAGCATATGCACGGGACAGAGCAATGAGGGAGGCTCGTACACTTCCACTGAGAAAGCAGTACAACTGAAATCCCATCTCAAATGCATAAATGAACTCAGTGTTGGAATAACACAGGAGGAATTCAAGTGCATGCAGTCACTAGATGATGAATGATGCTACTGCAGCTGCAGACATGGTGAGACAGCTTGCTTGATTTTGCTGGATGGATACAGACTCTTTAAGAACAGGCAGTTAAGATGGGGTGGGATGGCTGAAGTCTGCACAAAGAAATATCTTGAACTGACAGAGACCTTCTAAGTAACAGGAGCTTATGGGTTAAGATCAACAAGGTGGACAAAAAGGGTGTGGTCATGGTGGGTATCTGCTACAGGCCACCCAATCAAGAAGAGAAAGTGGACTAGAAAAAAAGTTATGATTTCTGGTTCTCATGAGGGACTCAGCCACCTCAGTATCTTCTACAAGGGCAACATTGCAGAGAGCAAGCAATCCAGGAGGTAGGTAGCTGGACTGCATAAAATATAACTTTTTGAAACAGGTGTGGAACAGACCAAATAATGGAAGTGCTTTGCTGGACCTGCTACTCAGAAATGAGGAAAAACTAGTCAGGAATATGATAGATGGTGTTAGCTGTGGTTATAATGCCCATGAAATGGCAAAGTTTAGTACCCTAGGAGGAATATAGAAGGTGAGTAGGAGATTAAAGAGCCAGAACTTCATAAGAACAGACTTCAGCCTGTTCAGGGAAATGGTAGGCAGGATCTCAAAGGAGACTGCCTTGAACGGCAAAGGCTGCCCTTAAGGACAAAGGATGCCTTGAAGGGTGAAGGGGCCCAGAAGAACTGTTTGTTCTTCACAGGCAACTTCCTTAAAGCACAAGAATGGTCCCTCTCAGTGTGCAAGAATTCAAGCAGGTCTGGCAGAAATGAAAATTAAACTCATGCAGAGCTACATCAGCAAGAACACAGTCAGCAGGTTTGAAAATAATAATATTTCTCTTTACTCAGCACTTGTGATGATATATCTGGAATATTGTGTCCAGTTTGAGGCACCCTGGTGAAAGAGAGATACTGATAACTGAGGTGATGACCACCAAGATGGTTAGGTGGATGGAGGAAAAGAAGAGACTGAGCAAGCTGGGGAGTTTTAGTCTGGAGAAGAAGACAGGCTTCATCTTTCTAAACGGAGTTACAGAGAAGATAGGGATAGACTCTTCAGAGACATGCATGCTGGAAGAATGAGACACCGTGGTCACAAGCTACAGCAAGGACAATTTCAGGTGGATATAAGTTAAAAAAAGCATGTTTCACAATAAGGTTCATCAAACTGGGACAAGTGCCCAAATATGCTGAGGAATATGAATTACTGGAGATTTTTAAACCTTGACTGAATAAGGCTCTGAGCTGCCTGATCTAACTTTGAAGCCAGCCCTGCTTTGAAAGGGAGGTCAGACTTGGTTGCCACAAGACGTCCTTTCCAACCTAAACTTATTCTATATCACTCAGGACCTCTGTTTGTGCTCCTTCCATAGGTCCCTCCAGAAGGCAAGACTATTTGCCTTAGCACCAATAAGGTGAACTGTCCCTCTGAGAGTGTGTTTCTTACTATTGATGCTAGAAGTTTAAGCACTTGGTTTATACAAAACACTTAGCTTTTGGATGGCTAAATAGTTGGCATGAATCTCCTTCCCAATAACTTCTTCAGCTGCTTTCTGAACCCTAAGATGGCACAGCAGACCATTCTACAAGCTGTTCTCTTCAACTGAAGCAGAGCTTTTATCTGCTACGCAATTTGTCAGTTAAGGTTGCAAAAGGATACAGATACTTCAGTCCAATAACAGGTATTAAAATTGCTTCCTCCAATATTTTTCTTTAAAGATATATGTAAGTAGGAAAATGACTGATCTTCCTATCTTCTTCCAAACTTCCACAGAACAACCACTTTGTCTAACTTCTTTCTCAAAAGCTTACTAGTCTCTCCAGTATAACAGCTACTTGAACTTTGTGGTAAGATACATCCAGGCCCTTTCAAAACAATGTATTCCTTTTTTTCTTCAAATCAGTATGCTGGTTTCTGTATTACAAGAACTCTAACTTCACCTACGATCTAAGCCATATTACATCTTTTCATTTTCCCATTAGGTCTGTGTTTAAATAGACAGATACCCTGGCTGCATCCTGATCACATGTTGGTATGAGGGGTAAATATGCACCACGTCTCATCACTCTACCCTTCCATGCCCTGCTTTCCTTTGGGAGGCAGTAAACAAACAGGCTTTCTAGTCCTGGAGGAGATGGGTGGAGGAAGGGGTCAGGGCAGCAGGTAACACACCACCCTGCCTTCTAGAGGCAGGCTAAAAGACTCCTCTTCTGCATCAGGTTCTACCTTATCTTGCTCTGCGCCCAAGTTATCCCAGATTTAAGATATTAACTATCATAAGGAATTCCTGTTGGGAGAGAAAGAGAGATAGCATTTCAAACCGTTGGGTCTGAGAATCCCTCCTACTCTCCATTTAACATGATGGGCCATTGATCAGTTACACCACAGGAAACTGAGTTGTTGTTCAAGACATCCCACAGGACATAGCTTTAACTACGGACAATGCAAAGTATTTATAAGCTCTTCTTATGACAGTATGGTCACTCCCTCCAGGATGATTTTAATTCATGATATAATTAAACCCTCACCTTGGCTATGGGAGTATACTGACACGTGAGAATTGCTGAGAGCAACAATCTTTTTTTTAATGTTTTTGCAGGTGATCTGAAGCGTTGGATAGGACAATGATATCTATAGTAAAGTATCTTCCGCAAGCAGCCCTGCCCTACTGGTGTGGCTGGGAGTAGATGCAGAAGAGCTTGGTCAGGAACTGCGTCCCCTTACCCAAGCCAAAATATCTTGTGCAAGCTAAATGTCTATGGGGTCCTACACTCTACTGCCACCACTACCTTTTCGCAAATCATAGCAGGATTTTGCTAAATAGCTTTGCTTTTCAAGAACAATGGTAATAGTAAAAATAACACAGCTCTTCTCTGAAGCCCTGCTTAAAACAGTCCTGAAGTTGAAAGATACTACTTATATAGAGAATAAAAAGTCAGGATTTCTCTTAAAGAACATCTGCTCTATAGGGATGAAGGGTGAGACGGGCAAAAAGATAGGCCCAAGGTCACATGCAGGGATAATAAAGCTCACTTAACTTCACACACCTAAAAAAATAGTCTCTCTAGATTCCCGCAGTAGAGAGGTGTAGGGTTCCTCCATAACATAGTCATCTGACCCATATTAGACCCCTCTTTCAGGATGAAATGAATCCCCAGCTGAGGGAACTTCTTACACACCTACCGTTTTGACTGCCAATGAATGTTATTGCCTCCTGCAGGCCTCCTAGGGAAGCCAAGGGAAACTAGCGCAGACTTGGGGACCTAACTTTCCCCTGCCTGAATGAGGGCAGATGAACTGCCCCAGAGTGGAGAACACACACGTCGCTTTGGACTTCTGTCTATCAGTACCTGGTGCCTTCCAAGTGCCTGTTTCCTCTCCAACAGCCTCTGCTACTTTCTAGTGACAACTGAGGCTTTTTACAGATTATAAATGCAGCACAAGAGCAGGACTCATATGGGCTCTTACCTTTCAAATTAGTGACAAAACACCTTGAAGTATCATAGGATTTCCATCAGACTATGAACATTTTTTGTACGTCTCTTAAAAGAGTGGAGGAGTAATTCTCAAGGGATCAAATACAAGTATGCAGGAGTTTCTTCAGAAAAAAATATTATAAAATACATCCCACACTTCACTGAGGGTCCTTTAAAAGGGAATAATGATCATTAGCTGCGTATGCAGAGCTACAAGGTGAAATGGGTAAGCCAGGTCAGCAGGTCAGCAGCAGAAGCAGAAAGAGAGCCCAGGCCTTTTGGTCCGGACACGAGTGGCTCTACCCCGTAACACAACATGGCCCTCACAGGACTGCCTCTCACCAGGCTTCATACAAAGGAGAACAGTGATTGAGCACATACTATCATTTACATCCTACACAACTGTGTCTTACACACCAGTGTGGCATCTTCCAGACTTTTCAAGGTTAACAGAACAGCATCCCAGAGAGCTGCTCATATCAGCTGAATTCTGGGAGGGTGCATCCTCCATAGTACGTGTGGGTTATGAGGAAGGAGGGAATTCAGTTATTTGTCAACTTTCATTCACAGAGGTTTAGAGCTCCCACTTACTCATATGTGACAGCTATTTTGTGTAATCCAATCACATCCAAAACATTTCTCCTATATTGGTCATGTGAATATGCTGTGTCTTCCAACTTCTTTAGAGCCCACCGTAATCATCTTTTGTGTCACTGATTAAAAAAAACACTCTCCTTAGCTAAAGCCCTTGAGAATCCTATAAGGCAGCATCCCTAAATATGCATTTTTTTCCTTGCTAAAAAAGTAGATTGAAATTGCAGTGTCATTCCATTATTTGCCCTGGATTTTTTAATCTTAAAGTAGCTTTTAGAACAGCTTCATGACTAAATACCTGTGGAAAGAATTGTCTCCAAAGCAGGAACTGCACAAGCCAAAGGACAGAAGCATATGCTTTCTCTTTCTTTTAACCATGATTACTATAATTTTTGGTCAAGAAAAATGGAAGAATACCTAATCCTTTCTATTCTTTAATTGACTGAGCAAACAGTATACCCACCAGCAATGATGAAAAAGCCTCCTCCTGCTTTGTACAGAATGTGGCTGGCAAAAGGAGCTGCACAGATGATGAAGAAACTAGCCATCACAATAGTGAGCACTCCCAGGAGCATAAGAACTGTCCAGAAACCTCGATAAACTGGAGAAAGGGAAGAAGGAAAAAAAGTATACAACACTTTTTAGAACTTCAACAAGTGGCATATTTGGCTAACAAAGATTTTTCTTTTTCCCTTCTCTTTTCACTTGCCTTATTAACAAATGAAACATTCATTCTATTGTGCATATACATTATATATCATGTGGACCAAATCAGGTTTGAATGCCAGTCCTTATCTGATGATCATGGAAAATAGGTTGTAAGTTGCTATGACTGAAATCCGTCTGCTTAATATTTAGCGGGGACTTCTAAGATAGCAACTTGGCCAAATGTATGCTCTTTAGAAAATGATACACCAAAGCTGTAGCAATGATTCTTCGGGATAAATGATTGGACTGACAGGATACAATTGTTTTACCAAAATTGTCTGGGAGAAGCAGAGAGTTGCAACATCTTGGCATTCTCAGAGCTCAGACCATATCACCAATAGCAATCTGTAAGTTCTCTGCAATTTACAACTAGATAATTCTCCTTACATATAGTCATATTCAATAGAAGGAAATTAAAGCCAGAGGGGGAAGAAACTAAGAAAAATGTAACCTGGGTTTCTGAAAAACACTTAAGTATTTTAAACCAGCCTATTCCTGCTCTAAAGCTCTTTGTATTTTATTAAATTTAAAATGTGATGTTTCAGAAGTCTCTGTTAGACAGTGCCAAGCAGCGCTGAATTAATGGATGCAGCTGGTGATAAATGAGCCGAGAGTTTTGTGACATACTCTGGCCAAAAGAGTCTTTCTAACAATTATTTTTTAGCTGGTTAATTGCACATCCATTTAACAAAGTCATCATTTTACAAATGCTACAAGAGTGACATAAATTTCTCCCATGAATTTAAAAATTGGTACATTAACACAACCCATTAGTAAAATTATGAGTTGCAAAGATCTCCATCGTCAGATCTAAAAATCTTGAAGCACTGACAATTCAGTCAGTGAAAAACATTTCCACCCAACTGAGGGAAAGCATATAAGCCAGCTGGCAAGTCAGGAAAAGTGAGTCACAAAAGAAACTGCCACTTATCATTTGACAGCACCAACTTACTTTTATGGCAAAACACAACCAAGCAACTATTATACTGGTTCGTACCCTGAAAGTTTCAAATTCATACAGCTTGTTAGAGCCAGCTATTCTGGAATAATTTGGGTTTGCTCTCATCTGAAATCTGAAGGTGCACTAGACATTATCAGCTTGTGCTTCCCACTAACGTGTTCCAAAAATCTATAGTTTTTAACTTGACCAGCTTAACTCATGTTAAAGTATACATCATCTTGCTTCTATCACCCTTGTAAATGTATTAGCTACATCACGTTCACCACATCACATTAGCCACACTTTTTAAATAACATCTTTTTTAATCCAGGCAAACATTCAGAGACATAATTTTCTGCCACACTGATCAGCAGATTTGGGCATAGGAAGGATGAATGTGTCTGAAAGTAGCTGGCAGAAGGGTTAAAACTGTGTTTTGGTGCATATCCAATACAAGTCTTCTTGCCACATAAACAAAAAAACATGGAAACAGGAGGTAGGAAATAAGGCTGTGGTTCAGCAAAGCAGTTAAGTGTGTGTTCTGCTTTAAGTACTCTATCTCTTACGGGATTTAGGCACCTGTTTAAAGTTAAACATATAGTTAAATGATTCACTTAATGCAAATGGGCAGTGAATGGAGACCTAGAAAGGTAAATCTCTCAAGTCCTTCAGTCTTGGGTCTCTGAAGCAATTTCATATTATTTTACTCATGGGGCTACTTTGCTAAGCTTCATCGCAGTCCCCAAGTCCATGGGACATTACTTCCTCATTTAAAACCTAATACCGCTAAATCAGTCTATAACCACCCAACTCTTTTACATGGATGGCCCAAGGTACTTCAAAGTCATGCTACATAATACAACACATTGACCAAAATGGACCTTGAAAAAGCTTTCTTCGATATCATTATGGTCAGTCACCTAAGTCATACAGCAGTGTTTCTATTTTCTGAATGGATGAGGACACAAGCTTCTCCAGCATTACAAAATTAGTATATAGTTTCATTATCTACTCTTCATAGAGGAAGCTTTGAAGTTTGCCTTTAGTGAAATTTTACCAGAAAAGCTTGATTTGTTCAAATATTCCTGGAAACTGAACACAAAAGGAGTACAAATGTAACTGATGAAAATTTGTTTAAACCCCTCTGTAACCATACAAGACAAAAACTGTTTCTCTGATCCAACAGCATAACTATTTTATGCATTATATGTGAAATACTGATTTGACCTAGCTATCATCTGAAATAAGCTTCCATTCTATTTCTCTAGAAATAATTTACACTGGAGAATCATGGATAAATTCTGATGATCCTAATACTTGTTTAGCCAGCTAACTCTGTCATTAAATGTCAATTAGAAAATAGAGTAGAGTTGACAGGTAAAAAGACTGCAATGTTCCCAAATCAGTGACTTTTCAAGTGAAAGACTACCCCCTCTAATCTGCAAGAGAGTAAGTCATTAGGGTCATTGGTGGCACAGGCCTGAGGAAACATCCTACGAGCATTTAGACTTTTTCTTTAGTAAGGGAGTTAAAAAGCATCTAATTTTCTCCAAAGAAGATTTCACTTATTCACACTGAGACCATTTTTGCTCAGACCACATTTCCCATCTTCTCTGCCTAGCTGGGCAAGATCAGTTCCTGCAGGGCTAATCATTCAAAATTACAACGCAGCCCTGCTGCTGTCATTTAGCTTAGCTGGCATCTATAGATGAACACAAAAGAGCTGGCTGAAATTAAAACCACCTAAGAATGAACTTACTCTTCAAGTCAAAGACTTTGCTGCTCTGAGATTGAGGTGAACCATGACAGATAAAATACAGCAGAAGGCGCAGCTTTGAATTATGCTTCTTTATATCCCATGAAAAGGGATGACACTGTGATCCAAGTAGCCTGTTTCAAGAAATAACGGTTCAGTGTACCTATACAAGGTGTTAAGAGAAGTTTGCACCATTTCAAGTCTCATTGAGGCAGTTCGTAAGATAGCCCATGTCCTGGTCTACATGACAAGGAGTACCCTTGCCTCTGCAAGGTACTTCACAGATATGTCTGCATTAGCTACCTCAAGTACATGCATTATTCCAAGTGTTTCCTGCAGCAGAAGAAATAAAGTACAAGCACTACTGCAGAGTCCGAGGTAAACCTATCTGCAGTGTTAATCTTAGATACTATTGCTCTGTGTTGCAAGAGTGCTAAACAGAAAGTTCTGTAGCTTGTCTTGGTAAGCTAACCCTTCATTGGGGTACAACATTTGGCTTGGCAGTGACAGGCAGGACTAAAAATAAAACAGGACTTAGAGGAAAACAGGAGTACACATGGTATGCTTGTCTTTGAGCTCTACACTGTTCAGCCTGTATAATATGGGAACATTATAGCTGCAGTATATTCCTCCAAAATTGCATGACCTGTAATTTTCCATTGCTACTTGCTTTTTTCCCTAAAGATCCTAATTTAGATTCCTCTGAAGACTTCTGCATTATTTGAAAACTGGAAGAAGTATCTGGTTTTGAGAAAGGGACCAAATTTTGGAGAAATGGCTGAAAATTATTACTACAGTTTCTAGTATAGTAGATCCCAGCATTGCTTATAAACTGAAGCCACAGATTCATATTTTAAGATGTTACTGGTGCATGATATGAAAGAGTAGCAAGAATATATTTGAAAAAGTTACACAGGTGTGTCACCTGCAATGCAAGCTCTGTAATGTGTTATTCAAGAACAGGTTAGCTAATGACACAGTGTGACACCCATTGACAACCGGAGACGTTAACACCAACCTCATGAAAGCATACCGCATATTTTATTGCCCTTGCTGACTTCAAGTGTTTTAACATCTCAGCCATCAGCTCATACATTTTCTATTGCCTATCAAAAAAATCCCCAGCCACTTAATATTGAATTTAATATCAAACCTGAATTATTAATCACTACAAAGCTGAAAAACTTTTTGAAGCATGTGTGCATACAGTCTCACATAAACATTACTAAGGACAGGCAAAATGGCTTGGAAAAGTTGCATTGAATTTTCACCCACAAGCTCCCATCCTAAAGTGAACCTTTCTTGTGATTTGACTGTGGACTGTATTTTAGAATATGTCTTTTTTACCTCTCTATTTAATGTAAGAGATATCAAAATGCTTTTGACAAGAGGTATCAAAATGCCACCCACAATATAAAATACAATGAAAGGTGAAGTGCCTGAACTGCTTTAAATCAGGAGTACCTTCTCTGCAGATAAACAGCTGTAAATGAAATCACACACCTCATCAGCAGTGCCGGAGACACACCTGGCAACACAGTAAACCTTGCAAAACTTTTCTCAGTTTCACTCAGTACCCTTTACTATCCCTTAGCAGTAATAATATTTTTTTTTTTAATAACCTTAACAATAAAACAAATACAATATTCACAGTATGAATACATTGCTTTTTTAAATACTCCTTGCTTTATCACTGCTTGGTGGCTGGGGAGTTCTCCCTTAGTAAATGTACTGTATTACAATCTCTCATGGGCAATTATGTGACTGTGTTACATAACAGCATTTTTTTTCCCTAGAAATAGGCTACTGCTAACATTTCACTGTACAATTTTTATTTTCAGATTTCATTGCTGATATTTTCTAGATTACTTTAGGTTAATTTCAACCTAGTAACAAACCTGCCAATAAATTTGATCACACCATTTTAGATGTAATAGTTGCTGAACAAGAATTTCACTTCAGTCCTATAAACATCCTGTATTCTACATTATATTAGGCACTACTTCAAATGCTGGCAATGTGCCCAGTACTGGACAAAATAAGATACTAATGGTCAGGAAAAAAAGGACTGGCAACTACAAATCAGAGTATTAAACTAATGTGTCAGTGAAGCCCCATTAAATGCCTTCCAATTTAGCTTCAGAAGGCGCTGGGGCAATTTACAACAGTTAAGGAACTATTGTTTATTTCCAAATCAAGTTGAAAAAAAACCCCTCAAAAATAAAATTAATGACTTCACTAAGTGCTAGATCTTGCACTTCTTAAGAATAATCTCACTATAGCCAATGGGCCTACTTGTACGAGTAAGGACTCTGTACATTTTTCAAAAACAGGCCTAGTACTGTTCTGTAGTAAAACAGAGTTTCATAAAAGTGTGACAGTCCTTAAATGTCAGCGTTAAGTAATCTAATGACATGATACCATGCATTAATCTAGCTAGCAATGAATTATTATTTAAATACTATACTATTATGTCTTCAAAATAGCCTGATGGGATAACCAATCTGATTATGATTATACAAATATATGTTTATTTTTGAGTGTTGAGGTCACTACTCTGGCACTTTTATTGTATGGGTTAATTTCATTTTTTTTATTTCTCGCTTGTAGTTTGTTGCACATATGTTTGTGAATCATCATATAAATGAATGTGCTGGCAACACAATGAGATGCTGTCTAAGTCTACTTAATAGCTGCATGCTGTAATAGCTGTCATTGTAAACCACTGTACCATCACAGAAAGTCACTAGAGTCAGGCTTCCCCTGAGTTCATTTAGATACCTATTTCAGGTTAAGATAAATGACATGGCCTGCAAATTCCTTTAAGTGCATTAACCATAAATGATGGTTAGCGCAGCTGTGGACCGCACCTTACACTGCAGGTAGGTGAAGTCCTCCCCACTCCACCAAGATACTTAACAAAAACAGTGAACGAACAAAACCATTAAAACTGCGATTGAAAGATATAGAAAGCTGCAATTTCAAAGCAGTGCTATCTAACCCTTCGAAACTGATCATGCATCTGACAGTAATGATGAAACGAAACCTGAGACATGAAAACATGCATCCAGATCCCCAATATAAGCATCACTGTAGGCTCTTCCATCTTTACAATTCCATCTAAGGCTGTCATTCTTGACACCAAGAGTACATAGTCTAGGTTTGCACAGCAGGAAGAACCAAGCCTTTTTGTCTAAAGCTTTGTAATGTTTACTGAAACACTAGACCTGAAGGTCTTCAGTGTTTGAGCCTTTTGGGAACTATCAGACAAACACCATAAAACCAACACACAAAAAGATGTAAATAAGCTAAGAGGGGACAGATTGAGACTCTTTTGAATTCTGGCCCAGAAAAGCTCTGAGCCAAATTCCTACTGATACTAAAGCCAAAGGAGGTATGTCAACAGAAAACTTGGTCCAGTCACTGCACCCAAAAATCATCAGAGATTTTAGATCCTCAGGAAACTTATCTTTCCCTCAGCCCTTCTGACTGGATGGTAACATGGCACTCCACCAACAAACCACACTTGTGTTTCCACTAGGGGCCACAGTTAAATCCAAATTCCTCTGATAATGTCCCAAAGTCTCTTAAGCCAAACAGTCTGTAAAAGAAGTCACATGCCATTGCTTGCTCAGAAAGTAACAGTTCTGTTAACAGAAAGTTAGAAATTTTTAGAAAAATGTGTTGTACATACATGTTTCATTTTTCTAATGAAGTTTAAAGCTTTTTATTCAGCTGTTTATTTTTCCATGAAAGAGCAAACTAAGTATTTTTCAGATGGCAGAATATTTCTTCTTATCCGCTCCTAATTAAAATAGGACTTGAGGGACTCACTAAAAACACAGTCATAAACCTGTGTGGGTGATTTTCTTTTTTTTATCCCCAAAAGTGAATATGTTGAGAAAGCTATGAGCCATGAAAATGGTAATATTGTATCAAGAAACAGTAGCAGAACCAAAAAAAGGGACAATAGCCTCAATCTTTTGGTAGTGCGCTTTTGTTCTATGTTTAGTTGATGTAAGGTATTAGATGCAGCAAACTGGATGTACAAACTGTTGATGAAATCTTGTTCTTCATGAAATCAAACTGGGGGCTTTTGCCACTGGCTTTTACATTCCTCCATTAGCATTTGCTCCACTGTGAATCAAGAAGAGGATAACCTTCTAGTATTTCTTAATTTAGCAACTACAGTTGCAGCGAGGTTTTAAAAACTTGTTTGCCAAATATCATGGGCAAGACTGTCAAACTAGACTAAAGGAGAAACAAGCTTTGAACTAACAGAAGAGATGATGACATAACCTTCTTCATAAAAAGTTGTGAAAGATTCTTGAGCAAGCATACCTGCTCTAGTAAATAACTCAGCTCGGATGCTGAAAATGAACTGGAAGCATTAAAAAAAAATGCCAAACCTCTTCAGTTTTAATGAGCTCAAAAGCAATCCAACTGTATCTATTTCAGGAATGGCTCTGAATATACTCTACCTGGGCCAGCATCTATAGTACAGTTCTGTCTATTTTTAATCTCCTAATATGAAATATAGATAGGAAAATTATATTTGAGCAGTGGTTCTTTTGGCAAACATTAACTAAAATTAATTAAACTTTTGATGATATTCCTTCTCCTTTCTTTATTCTTTGTTTGTCCACTTCTGTGTAATCATGCAATATAATATGAGGATCCTTTGTGAATGTACGCGTGAATGGTGGAATACAAACTGTCTAGATTATTAGGAGCTGGTGACTCTGTCACTTTCAAATGGAAAGATAAACTGTTCTAGATGTGCTGTGAAGTTACAGATTAGATCTCTGAATGGTGAGGTCTGAATTCTGCCTGGACAAACAGTTCATAATTTCTAAAGATTAACAGAACCATTACCAGTCCAACTTACTTTCTGTTCATGTCTGCAGCACAAAAATTGGATTCTGAAAACACTTCAAAGTTAGCAAAGGCATAATTACAGCTTCAGGACAGGAAGGGATCACTTAAGTCACTGAGTCAGCAGGCTCAGAGACATGCAGCATCCACACATAACGGGTTATTGAAAAAGTCATATGAAATAGGTATCAGAAGTGATTTACTTCAAATATGTTTGCATAAAGCCCTTGATCTGATGAAATGTGACTGATATTTTTAATTGGAGTTGTAAAAACAGCTTTCCAGGCATTATTCAAACATATGTTTTTCAATTACTGTATATCTTCCATATATATATACACACACACATCTCTCTTACTGCACTAGAGTTTCTTGGTGTTGATATCTCAGTTTAACATAGTAAGTATTTTGGACTATTATAGAGAATATATATATTGAAAAAGAGCTTAGTTCACAAAACAAAACTGCCCATTGCTACAATCTTAGGCTGCATTATTCATATATGGGACACACTATTCAGAGTAATTTCAGTGCTTCAACTCCGTGTAGTATCAATGGAGAGAAGATGGGACATCCAGCACTCGATGCAGTATATCTGAGTTAGTTGAATAAACTTAGACAGTATCAAGGCCCTTCTCCTCCTTCCTCATAAAGTAAAAATGCAATATATTTCCACATCTGGTTATTTAACAAAAAAACAGTTTTATTGGAATACATGAGAAGAAGTACTTGTTTCACGCATTCAGCCCAAGGAAGATACTTTTTATGTTGGATAAAAAAGCAGTAAAAAAGGAAATGTCTCTTTTTTTAGAAATGACTTCCATTCTGCCATCGTGCTTAAAACTAAGCATTCAAGTGCTTTGCTAAACAGTGGCTTAAATATGCATGTTGTAAAATGATGAGAAGTATGAAACACCAAAACTCTATTAATTAAACTGTGTGGAGCGATAAGGCTGTTTTATACTGAAGCATCCAAATTGTTTTCTTGCAACTACAGGCATTGTATCCATTCGCAGCCAGAAAAATACTTACTGATTGCAGAGTCATAGGAGGTTGAATTATGTTCATCTTGGATAAGAGGAAATGGTGACAGGTAAGCATGTGTACAGTTCTTAGAAGGTGACTGGTTGGCTAAAAGTGAAAGAAAGCTAAAGATTATTTTACTGCCGTAAGAATAAAATATTTTAAGCCTGTTCTTTAAATGGGTAAACTGAGTTTCGTAGGTCGAGATTCCAGGTCCTTTCCCAGGCAATAGCTTTACAGTCGATTTTGGTTTGGTAAGAGATACCAGCCTTGTTATCCAGCCAAGGATATTCCTTAAAGGGCAACACAGTTTTGTACGATGGGAACAGTAAAGCAGCCTTGCTGAAGGCAAGTATCTGGCACACTGTAATTTATATGCAATGCATATGTATGCTTTTATATGCATATGTACCTTTCTCTTGTGAGAGTCAATTACGTCTGTCTCATCACTGCATGTCTCACCAAAAAAAAAAAACAAACAAAAACAAACAAACCCAGGAAATTACTTTTTCTTGTGAAAGAACAATGAAAAATATCAACCATCTTCAGAAAGTTTACTGTCTCAATAAATATGAGTTTAGTCTATGGAATCAATATTCCCAGAGAGGGTTATTTCACTCTTTATATTAAATGCTTATAAAAACATCACCTTCTTCCTTGTGAAAGATAAAGGCTGACTATAGCTTAAACACATTTAAATTTCAGATTCCTGACCAGAGAATTCTCCAGATAAATAACAAAGGGAAATTAACTACAGTGAATATTACATTTGCCACCTAAGACCAAGCAACGTATTTAGCAAAATATGGGTTATTGAAGTCAAATTTGTATGATGGCATCTGCTTTTCAAAAGGATTATGGAAATCTTGCAGTAAGGAGAGGGAGGTCTGCACCTCAGAGGTAGGGTCAAAGACAGGAAAAGAAGTCTTGCTTGACCTCTTCTTCATGGGAGATTTTGGTTGTAAAATACTATCGGATCTTCTAGAATCCTGGCACGTAGTAAAAGAAAGCAAATGGTCATCTGTGAATTTAGTAGAGGGATTCTTCTGGAGATGATGTGTCCTACATCACTTTCACAGTGGAATTGCCCATGCCCTCCTTAACCCATTTGTAGAACTAGCTGGAGAAACTCTCCAAGCAAAAATTCATGGACCATCCTAACCAC